AAGGAAAGCATGCAGAGGTTTTAGGATCCACCGAGCAGGCCTCATGCATCTTTTTGAGCACATGGCATTTTCACTGCAGCTACAGAAAATAGCTAATTTGAATACAACACCCAATTCCCTCCTCCGTTTGTTTAATGCCAGGGCTTTGGGGTTCTTTTAGGAAAAGTCCACAACTTGTGAGGAGTACTTTAGAATCACAGCAAAGTAGTATCTCATCCTCCATGAGCCAGACCCCAGCTCCTACCTCTAACATCTGAAGTTCAATTAACAGGCAGTTGCAGTGACCTGATGTTGCAAACAATGTCAAATGCTTACAAATTGGAAGGCAAAGGGTAAAGAAGACATTTAAGTACTTAAAAAAAACACAAAAGATGCTTCACAGTAGCTGCACTAACCTACCCTTTCCACCCTCCTGCATGTCTGCAACAGCCCTTCAACCCTTTTTGCTGTCAAGACTTGCAACTCACCCTAATTTCTACTGTGTTCAGTTTGGGAAGGCAGCTCACAGGCAACAGGAGGAAGCATCCCATTGCATTGGAGGAACCTTTTTGTCAACTCTCTCAAAGCTTGCCCAAAGTCTGATGATCAGAAAGCATTTGGGTAGTATGCCCAGGGGATTTCACATATTTTAGGTCCTTCATTTCAAACTAACTAGCAAAACAGCAGACCTGTTAAAACAAGATACTTCAGAACAGAGACACTGCACTGCAGATATTTCTCTGGTACTCTATTATTTCTAAAACCCCAGGATGCAAGAATTATTAAGTACTACCAACAGTACAGGCACCAAGTTTTTCCCTAATGACCAGAACATCACAGCCCAAGGCTAGCAAACTCAGTACAGAGTCTCAGTATGCACTTGCAATTATACCTTCCACTTCATTGTGCCCACCCTTCCTTTAAGAGACAACCAAAAGCTACCATTCATTTTAGGAGTCTTTCTAACATGATCAAATCTTTCTCTTTACCATATATAACAGGACTGCAAGAGAGCTCAGGGAGTAGGGGAAGGTGAAATTGTGACCACACTGCAAGGCAGTCAGAGCATGAATTACAGGAGGAATTGTGTTTTGTCTATTAGCTTCTATTTATTTCTCTGCATTGTGCCCCCCACGCCTCCCAGACAAGACATCCCCTTTTTTGTCAGTCCATCAGCCTCAGAATTTGGCACTGTTAGTTCCTTTGCAGCACAGGGAATCAGCTTCTAGAGTGCAGCAATACTGAATTATCAGACCAGAATCTCCACATAAGCAATAAAAGGAAACAGGCAAATCAGCAAAAGGAGGCAAGCACATGATGTTATTGCTTTGGATTTCTCCTGAGAAGCAACTAACTCCCTTCTCTGACTGCATAGGGAATGGAGACGTTTAGTACAAGTCCTCATTGACAGGCTTCTACTTTTTTATCCTACGAGTACTTATCCAAGGCATCTAAAGAAGCAGGCCATGATAGTTCATTCTATTTGCAAAGCCAACAGTGTTATTTCCTGGCCTGGTGGACAGCCACACCATTGCTTTCTTCCAAGAGCTGCTCTGGAATCTCTCATTTCAGAAACTCATTCAATTTTTGTTTATAGCAGCTCCTTAATTTTCACAATGGTTTAAAAAGACTCTTCTCACATATGATTTCCAATATTGCCACACTGAGTTAGACTGGTTAGAAGAGAACCATTATGGAAAAATGGTAGAAGATAGAAAGTAAGGATTTAAGAAAATAAATAACTAGCAGTGTGTTACCTGGTCAGCACAGCCTGTGGTGGAAGGTGTGAAATGGGAATTTGCTGCTGCCTTTGCTTAGCCTCACAGCCTGGCACTGAGCATGTCTGGCCCATGAACCCTGCTGCACTTTCCTGTCCTCTCAGCACAATCTGGTCTTTTCCATGTCTCACAACATCTCTTCTGTGAAATTTCAATTATCCCAAGGAGAAACTACAGTACTATTAGAAATTATGACACTTCAAGATGGAAAACACTTTTGTCTGCTTACATCACTGCCAATACCAAATGAATTATTAGGTACTGGAATTGTAAGAATGAATGTGAGGCCTTGGCAGCAGTTCTCTGTTCTGTGTCCTATCAAACTCCTGTCACAGCAAGGTTTCTCTGTCTCCATTGCCTGAGCAGATCACTGCAACCAAAGTCCATGTTGCATCCACTGTAACTGGCTGTTACTTCACTGACAAGACAAACTCCCACAAGCTTTAGATAGAGGTGACTTCCTGAATACTGTGTATTTGTTTTGTTTCACCAGGAATAAAAGGAACCCAAACCTCTTTTTTAACCAACACAATCAATTTTTGAGTCCTTTTTAAATATATAATGGTCCATCACATGATAAATTATAAAATGCATGAGAAATGCAGCATTATAAATGTAGAAACCCTATACCTGCAAAGTGGGAGATAGACTTTACCATCAATAACACCTGAATCATCTGCTTTTTTTCCTAAAGCTGTGCATAAGTCCTTCCTATTCTTAGTACTTTAACTAAATGTTAAGTATATGCTTTTCTTTGTGATAAAGAGTGGTTTTCCAGATAGTCACCAATCACAGAAGATCCTTTATTCAAGCTCCCCTGCCCCTTAAGCCTTTATTCTGCATCTTGAGCTGCAGGAGTTACACTCCTCTTTTAACAGGACAGAAGTGTAAGAACCAACTAAAGTGAGAGTGATAGATGGCAGACTGGAAAAGTGGCTCAGTAGATGTCCTATATTAAAAGATGTAGCCTGTTCCGTCTTCATCCCTCCCCTTACACACCAGCCTGGCTGCCCCTGTCCTGTGGCAGCTCATTAGTCACTATGCACTAGTGCCACTGTGGCATGGCAGCATCTCTCACTTTGATTCCATTCTCAGTCTGCATTTCAACTTTTCTCCTTCCAACAGTATTTGGATCACAGGCCAGTTGAAGTCAGGACTTCCAATAATCCTTGGGTGTCAGCTCACGAGAATTAAAAGTATCATTGGTAGCCTGTAATGCTTCTGATCACAGAGGCAAAATCTGACATCAGTTGTCTGACATCAAGCAGTTGTATCAGAGCAGTATGAGGCTGTTATGTAACAACACAATAAATGCTCTGGAGTCAAATCCACTTCAACCTGTACAACTTTTTTTGTTTAACCAGTCTCAAATATTTATTCCTGTGAGACGCTTCTTGTGTTGCCAAGGAACATCAAGCATTACGGCCATGTTTTGCCTGACACTGGGACTAAACAAGTAATGGGTCTATAGTTTCTGGTTACAGATAAAATGAGTTTCTCAGTATTGGAACTTTTGCATACATCTTTTATGTTGTCCTGAACTACAATATCACAGTTTTGTTAATCTTAGATACGCTCTTAATCTAAAATATATTTATCATTCCCACAGTAGACATTCATTCAAAAATGAATCCTTCTAATTCAGACTGATGCTCATCACAGCATAGCCAAGTTACGGATCTCAGGCCAGACTTGACATTCATTTCTCCCATATTAAAATGCTTACAATGCCTTTAACCTACTGATTTCTTTTCACTGACAATAAAAGAAGTAAAAGCTAACACTATAGATAACTAAAGTTACATGAGATGAATCCTGTTCTTTATGTCACTGTTTAGCTTTGCATTCTCTTCTGAGAGCCAGGTCCAGGAGATAGACATGAGCCAGAGTCCAGAAACTCCTGGTCAGTGTTGATGCTTTACTGGCAACTTACAACTTGCTGGTTGTGAGCAGCTTTATGAACAATCACAGATCGTGTGCTGTAAAACCTAAAAATCCCATAAAATCTTTGGTCATTAACAAAAACTTTCTGCAAAGAGAAAGTCCTCTGGAGAGTAAATGAACTACAAGTCTCAATTCTGCCTAATATTTTATGTACCTAATTTACATGCTCTTTCTCATAAGTGGCATGCTATTACGATCAATATTAAAAATGCATAAGGCAGACACTGAGTGGGAAAGGAGCTGCTCAAATATTTACGGCAGAAGCCCAAAACTATCTGAATTTCCAATTCTAAGACATGTGCTATAGCCATGGTGCCAAGTGAGGTGACAGAAAGAAGGACCTGAAAGCCTTAGGACTCTGCTCATCGTTTATAGTTAATTCTTGGGTGTACTGTGAATGCAGTTCAGCCCAAATGCAGTTCTAATGGCCAAATACTAACAGAATGTTTGGTTTCAATATAGAAAACACCCATTAGGGAGTATTTTCTTTTCTAAGTGATCTAACCTTTATCTCTTTCCTTAAAACCACTCATCTACCTCATTCTGATGGCACCAGCACAGTAAGGATAACAACAATTAATGGAATCACCTGTATACTTTGAGAAATACACAGTTCAGATATCTTACACTAATAAATTCTTTTCCATATGGTCTATAACACATACAAAGTTTTGCCTGCCTACCAGCACTTGGGCCTCATATTTCCAATTACATGTCTTTAAATCACCATTCAGGATGAGTACAAATAAGATGCAGATAATCTTCCACCAATCCCATACAGATTTACCTTATCAGAGGTGAACTCAGAGACACAATTTGTTAAAACCATCTCATTAGCTGGCTTTACCCATAAACAGCCATCAAGGAAATCCTACCACACACAAAAAAAGAGGAAGACTGGATAGAAATAGTATTCATCATCTGTCCCATGCAAGAAAAATCTCCATAATTTAAGTTCACACTTGAGAGTGCTTCCATAAAATTGTTTGAGACTTCTCACATGCATCTGCATTTTCTGCCTCAGGACACAAACCATACTTAGCCAAAGAAACTCTGGAACCTGAAGGCAAGGTCTTCAGAAGGTTTAGGGAGTGAAGCGGCAAAGTAAGTTTACGAAATGAAGGTGGAAAAACTGGAAGGAAACAATCAGGGAAGAAAGTCTTCTGCATGTGGGGACTGGAATTTAGCACTGGGAGATGAACAAGGGCAGGGGAAAATCTCATGGTAACACTGGATTTTGTTCGCATTCTCGTGTACACTTTCAGCTTTGTGTAACTGAGGTCAGAAAACTCAACTTACCTCGCTCACATGTTCTACCCCAATAGCCAGTGCCAGTGCAGTCACAGATGAAGCGGTTCCAGCCATCCTTGCACACTGCATTATTCTTACACGGGTAGCTGTCGCACTGCTTGGTGCTGAGGCGGGAGCAGGAGGACTTGACTCCCGCAGCATTCTGCGCCTCTGCCAGCTGCCGGATGTTCTTGCTTCTTCCATCAATGAACAAGTCTCGGATACAGCCGACATAGCCGTAGTTCAGCATTGCTGTCCAGAGCTCTGTGGGAAGGATGAGTCCTGCCCGGTTCTCAGGCAGCCCACCAAGGTACATGTCACCTTCCAGATCTAGGATCTCGCTCTCCCCACTAGCGGTGAATGGGGTGCGTCTGCTGTTCACTGATATAGTACCTAAATGAGGGAGACAAGAAGACATCAATACTTTCAATTACAGTCATAGTTTAGCTCACTTTTTTCCAATAACTGAGTGAGGTTTAATATTCAGCAGAGGAGAGTGAAGGTTCCTCCCTACCCAAATGCAATTCTAACAGATATGTTAGCTGTGTGTCTCTCACACAGTTCTGCCTCCTCTTGAACTACAGGTCCTAAGTACTTCCCTGCACTGACTGCAGATCATGTGCCTGTATCCCAAACTGCATTATAAAGTCAGAAGCATAACAGTGCTATGGCTAAATAATATGTAAAAACTGAGCATTATTCAGTAGTATTCATCCAGTAAAGCAAAGACTTACTGAGAACATACAGGAATTTGATACATGACTGGAGAGACAAAAAGATAAGCAAAGAATATTAATTCACACTACATAGGTCCTTCAGAAAACACTTAATCAGTACCTCCAAACCTGGGTCTGGATGATGGAACCAAATAGACATCATCAGGCTTGTAGGTGACATCAGCTTGAGGAGAATGGTTGATGTATTGGAGGAAGCACTGGGCTACCATTCAGAGAAACCTTTACAAGGTGGATCAAAGGACTGATAGCAATATTGGATGTAAATCAAAAACAAACAATACAAAGTCCTACAGCGGGGTCAGAATAGCCTCATATGCAAGTATAGGCTGCAGATCAGCTGGCTAAGGAGCAACTCTGCAGGAAGGACTTGGAGATAAGGCAGGTAACAATCTGAACACAAGTTAGCACTGTGAGCTTACAGTGACAAGAGATGCTGATCACAAGTTGCAGTAAGATGTCCTGGTTCCAGCCAGGACAGGGTTAATTTCTGCAGTAGCCAGGAGGGGGAATCTCACATCATTGACAGGGGTGAGCAAAAGGGCCTCTCTTGCCAGGAGAAGGGTTCCCTCCAGTCAAGCAAGTGTGTTCCTTCCAGTCAAGTAAGTGTGTTCCTTCCAGTCAAGTAGACGGAGTAACAAGGCAACAATGGTTCCAAGCCAGAGGGAATGGTGGCATGGTGCTAGTCCCCAGCCAGAGGGGGTGGTCAGGCTGGCATGGTTGCACTCAGGTCAAGCTCCATGATGAGCACTTTTGCATGAGAATCACTCTTTTGTACACTTTTGTTGCCAATATTGTTGCTGCTACTGTTATTTCATTGTCGTTTCCAGTAAATTGTTCTTGTCCCAACCATGACCTTCACCTTCTATGCCTCCAATTCTCCTCCCCAGCCTGCCACAGGAGGGAGTGGGAGGCGAAGTGAGCAAGCGGCAGTGTGGTTTTACAAAGAAAGTTTTCTAATTTCCACATCATAAACAGGAAAACTGAGGTAGAGAGAGACAGAGGTTATCTCTGAAGAACAGTTACTATTAAAACTTTGGTAGCTTCCATATGCTCCAAGCAATATGTGGGCATACTGCATTGAGACCATTCCTATATATTTCAAGAAATTGTCCCAGCACATAAAACAATCAGAACATATTATACATAAATAAATCAGAATATATGAAGCAGATACAGAAAAGCAAAATTATTTGTTTAAAGTCAGACAGTGCATCCAAAGAAAAACGGGAAACATAATGCCCATCTCTCACATCCCAGAGCAGTGTACTCTTCTGAAGAGCATTCAGCAGCTTTTGTGATAGGGACATCTGCCCATCAGACACTCATCTAAAAATCAGCAATTCACTCTCCCTAGCTATAAATCATCACATCCAATTGCCTTGTCATTAAGAGAGTCTGTCTTCAGAGACACTTATCCAAGCTCTAAGATTAATTCCACATCACTGCATTTTTATCTACACCCCTAAAATAAGGTGTGAGAGTTAATAGAATTAGTCCTACTTTGTATCTCTGTGAGAAAGTACAGACACGTACACACACTTTTTTTTCAGCTGTAATAGGTGTCTTCTTAAGAGAATGGCATGTATGACACAGACACAAGGTATTTCATGTGTGTGATGTTCAGGAGTAATTGAGGAATAATGTCAGAGGCAGCAGAGTGTCAGAAGCAACACAAGGCATTACAGATTAAAGGCTCAAAGAGAATAAAAGTTATTTGATGAATCATTTTGCAAAAAACAAGCTGCAGCACCACAGGCATTTTCTCTTTTACAAAGTAAGAAAAGACAATATGTGACAATACACATACAGTCGCACAGGCAGTGTGTCACAGAGCCATAGAACTGCAGTCCCCCTCCAGCATCTCTGCTGCTACTTCTCAAAAGTAGCCTGTAGAAATACTGGAATGCTGAGCTCTAGACAGCTGGTACTACAGAGTTAAAAAATATCACCTGCAAGAGCCACAAAGGTAAAGAGAAACCCCCTAAAAGACAAGAAATGTGGGATACCAAGAAGTATAAAACCTGGAGAAAGATGGTGAGATTATGAACGGAAATAGGCTAGACAGAAATCTAAACATTCTGTCAGTGTTTCTTACCCTGCAACAATTCCTGTAAGGAGATGGTACTAGTTTGGATGCAGAGAATTTTTAAGGCCAACTGCCAAAATGGAAAAATTCTGAATTGACCCTAGGAAGGAGCGCATGAGCTGACATCCTTCCCCACCTACCACCCCCAAGTCCCACATTTGCAACTCTGTTTAGAGTGATCCAAGTCGACCCCAGTGCATCTTAAGATATCAGAAGCACCCAAGCATCTGCTTTCCAGTGCCTTTAGCACTTTGTGCAAGATTAAAGAATCAACAGACCGAAACACCACAGTTACTGAGGGTAGAGCTGGCATACAAAGAAGTGCACTAATGCAACTGTACATTAAACCTTCCAGCAAGATTTTTAGTGTCTGAGTGGGTGGGACATCAGGTATGTTGTGTAGCTGATGATCTGCTGAAAACATTGTCTAATAAGCTCCCAGTTCCCCAGCTAGAAACTGTGACAGGTTTTGTGAGCACTTTGTGGGAGCTTTCCCCAAGGACAGAAAGGTTAGAGGATGCTAGGTGCCCATGTCCATGCTACCAGCTTTTGTCAGAGTAGAGAAATGAAAACAGCTTTTCTTGCTCTGGTACCTAGCACAGACCAAAGCATACACAAGGCCTAAGGGGACTAGAGGTGCCAGAGGTTATCTGAGCATGACTGCCAAGCTCTCACAGTGCTAGTGCTCCTGCTTTAGTGCATCGCACTAGGGAATATTTGGATTTTTGGGCTATTTTACTAAGCTCAGCAGAACCTGAAGTTTTGGATCCAGAACTCCTTTCTCATGTCTACCACAAGTGTCACTGAATAAGAGTGACTGATGCTTGCTAAAGGGCATGATGTAAAGAAAAGAGTGCCAGTATCCTGGTTTTCTTGAGACACAAGACATCAGTCACTAGGATCATTAACCAAGTATTCATTGTCAGCAGAAAATACACTTTAAAAAAAAAAAAAAAAAAAAAAAAGACAAGAACATACAAACATGTTCCTTCTTGTTCAGGAAAGTGTTTCTAATTCAGAATTTGTTACCTCTAATCAGTGTCCAGAACATCACAAATCTCCCTGCCAAGTGACAAAGAAGTCAGTCTTAAGTTTCGTTCATCAAGCAGCAATGCTGTCTATCACACCCTCCTAGTTTAAATGAACGTGTGTTCCTCTTCCTAGAGTTTTACAAACATTCTTTGTGGAGAGTCCAGTGTCATTTCTTTTCTTCTCTCTCTGCAGTTGTCTCTTCAGGGATGAGACAGTTCCCAAGTGAGCAAGCAAAGCTGAAGTCAGTACTGAATGCAACTAATTGAGTTTATCCTTGGAAGTTAATTAAATTTTAGCAATTCTAAAGAAATCAAAGCTCCATTTATTTATTTATGGTTTCCTTTGTAAAATGTTCCTATCGATGTCTTTAGGAGATAGCAATATATAACCACACATATTAAGTCCCAGTAGAACACCACGCAAAATACAAAGAAACTCCTCACACCATCAAAGAAAAAAACAGCTTCAGGCAAAGACCTGTTCAAACAGCTAGGCCTTGCATGGTATCTAAAAGTCAGCTCTTTTAAAAACTCAGGGGAAGAAAATTCTAGCACTGTGTTCTTTGTACTGATGGTATTCAGCAACAGGAAAAATCAAGTTAGGGATCTAAAACTATCATATGGAGATCACCAGACAACCCAAATCCACTTGCAAATGTAAGCAACATTCCCTTTGAAGGGAAGGCTTTGAGATCCCAATGGTTCAGAAAAAAATGCAACTACAATTGTTCACATATTCACAAGATTGCAGTATTTGATCATTTTTGTTCTCCACAATTTCAGAGCACATCACGAGTATGTTAGCTTGATATTCAGCAGTAGAAACAAACAAAATACCTCTTGGTAATTGCAAGGTAGGTGTATTTTTAGAAGTAAACTAAAACACATAATTGAAAATGAGAAGCTGCAAGGAAAAAAAAAGGAATATCCACTGAATGTTGACTCATTTTAAGACTAGAATTTGGCATCCAAAAGAGTAAAGAAACCTAACCGAAAACTACAAGATACTAAAGGAAATAGAACAGAACCTGAACTCCAGAACAGAATGGGATGAAAATGATTTGTTGGCATAATTTTGTTTCTGGTTGTGCCCATTACTTTTATTTACCTCATGACAAGACACCAGCTGCAGAAATCCCAAGGAGATCAGTGAAATTTCTCAAAGTGAGAACAATGGTTCTGAAGACATTAAACCTTACCATGGCCTATAAAGAACTCATCACTATAACTATGCATGCAATTGCAAATATAGGTCCAGAATACCCAAGGATTGTGAATAAAATATTAATAGACTGCCTCTGGATGTGCTATCCAAAGTTCACACTAAACCTAGTCATCCACATCTTTGCTTTGCTGGATAAACATCACTGGAGTAGCACTAAGCTTTTTAAGAAGGTGACTCATATCTGACAGGTTTTGAAGGTTCTGAAAATTAATATACAGCCCTACGTCTGAACCTGAAACATGAATCTGCTTAAGAAAAAGTCATCACTCTACCTGATCTTCCATCTCGTTGAATGTCCACATGATACCACTCTCCATCATTGGCTTTCTTCTGTGTGGCCTTGACTTTGATGGTCCCAGAACCCATGTCCAGCAGCAAGTAGAGGTTTCCATCTAGAAGCTCAACTGCAAAGAAGTCTACCTTTGTATTTTTCTGGCTTCTGGCATCTTTCCTCTCCTGAGGCTTGCCATGGGTGAAAAGGATCAGTCCATTAGGTTCAGTGGTTCGGAAGTCAAATGAGATAGAGCCCATCCTTTTGGTATTCCATTTAGGCAGACTAATATAGGCCTCAGGTGTCTCAAAGCTGATGGGATCCAGTGTAGCCACGTTTTCACATACGAATTTCACTTCCCCGTAGATCTTCATCTTAGTATCACCAATCCGTGCCAAGCGAGACAGCTCCAGACGAATGTCATTATTCTTATAAACAACCTGCCAGACACAAGGAAAAGCATCATACATCAATCCTGCATACAATACAAATACCCCAATTACTTTCAGCCATGGGAGATGAACTTCTCCCAAAAGGCAGGGGGGAGCAGAAAGGAAACAGTGCAAGAGTCCAACATCAAGACAGAGGGAGAAAGCTGAACCAGGAGTGTGTGTAGAAATGACAGCAACGGGTACTTTGCAGTAACTATAGATCAGATAAGCAGTCAGAAGAAAATATTTAACTGAAGGGCACTAAGAACAATTAACTCTACTACAGGCCCACTTGGTTGTAAGAGCTTTTGTACAAAAAATCCAGTGTGTGTCTGGTATCATGCTGTTATATTTGCATAAATCCCATACAAAATACATAACAAAGTGTAACCTCCATGTCCATCTCTACTAGCCACAGCAGGGAACTCAGTACCACCACTGTCATTTTGCTATTATTCCTACTTAACTACTAGGAGAGAGATGCAAAAAAATTTCAGCAAGTTGCTGTGCACTGTTAGTGATTGCCCTGTAGCTCCTAAAGAAAAAAATAAACAAAGACTTAAAATTTCTCTTACCAAGGAATCTAGATCACTAGATCACTACACACATAAATTTACCATGGAAATACCTGCATAGCTTACCCTCACTTCAAGAAACCTTCAGTCTCTGTGCTAACACATAAAAACTCATACATATTCAGTGCCTGAACTCACTCTCTCTGGGTAAAGGACCAGAACTCTAAGTTGCTACAAGGATTGAAATTAGACAAGAGAAAAATCCCAAACAGGCAATCACTCCTGACCATGCCTGGCTTACTCAGGAGTCCAGACCTCCTACTCTTCTCTTTCTTTCAGGTACAGAATTAATTCCTGGAAAGCAGACTCCTCTCTGCCCCATGCCATTCTCACAGAGGTAGGAACTGAAGAAAGCACAAAACTAAAATATTTAAAACCTGTACTTCCTCTCCACCCTCTCCATGCTTCCTAAACTGAGAACTGGCATACACAGCAAGCAAAAGCACTTCTGCAACTAACACAATTTTTATTGAATTCATGTTCTGTGATACTACTGAAGACTCTTATTTCTTCTAAGGAGCTATTATTTTAAAATACTTTGTGTCTCATACATATAGTGTATACACATTTGATTTCTGCTTTCAAAATGCTATCAGGATGAGTTGTTATGAAAAGAGAAGGGAAAGGAGATATGCATTGTTGATTCTACAATTACGACAGGGAAGTCAGAGAAATGAGCATGTTGTAAATATTAAAAGGTGAGAGAAGCAAATGAGGGATAAGTTTCTAAATGAGGTGACTTCAGGATGAAAAAAGTAAATGAAATCACAATTCAACACATTCATAGTAAGCAAAGAATATCCAGCTTTCACTAAGCATTAAAGGAGAATTTCCCCAGTGCAGTCAGCACAGTATCAGATTTTCTTTCGCAAAGGCAAAACACAGAGCAAAAGGAGAAGCCAGCTATTAAAGCCCATTTGGAGACATGGCACAAAGCTGTAGTTCCTCCCAGCAGAGGACAGTGTTGACCCACAGTAGCTTGTTTTACTCCAATTCCCAACAAAATGCTCTGCCCTCACACAGGCTTCAAAAACATTAAGTCTATTAATAGCTGAAACAGGAATAAAATACATTTTCAAATTTGGGACTGTATTAGTTTCATTGTATGGATATGGGTTAACCATGTCAAATGCTCTCATTAGACAGATCATACACGTGCTTTCATTGACACAACAAAGGTATGCATTACAGCCTCCCCTCTTGCCAGACAACTTTAGTTCTGAGCACTGCATGAAGTCCAGTCTCTGCTTCTCAAAGAAAAAGAGGAAAATAAATAGAAAAGCTAAGAGGATGGAGCGGGATACTTTATGAGGATAGCCTGAAAAGGCCAAGGCTCATACTGAGAGAGCACTGAGGAAAATGCGATTCAAGTTTACAGAAGATGGAGAAGGTTAACGTAGCACTGCTCTGTGCCAAACCCAGCAGTAATAGAACTAGAGGCACCGCTGAAACTTGTATGAAGTCAGTTTAAAATGGATTTTTAGAAGTACTTATTCACAGAGAGGGTAGTGAACTTCTGGAGCTTGCTGCCACAGGAGGTCATGGAAGTAGGGTCAAAAAGAACTAGAATGAAAAATGGACATCAAGTACACAAACTGATACTAAAGCAAAAAGATAGGAATGGATCTTCTAACAATCGTAAACTAATAGCAGTGGATGCTATGGGTGCATAAGGGAATGCACCTTTGATAGCAGCCATGGTCACACGTTCCCCCAAAATAGCACTCACCACTACTGGAGACAGCATACTAGGTATATGAATTGACCATTCTTCAGGCCCACTAGGGTTTACAGCTTTGGTGCAATACTCCATTTTTGGTTTCACCCCAGTATGGAGTTGCTTTGGTGGGAAAGAGAATGCCTGGCCTGCATGAACTGTGTCTTTAATGATCCTAACATAGGAAAAGTGCTCTTATAGGATACTAATAACAGTTGCTCAAACCAACACTCCTCTAAACTATATCTTGACCCAGAATTTCCATAAATGAGGAGCAGACAGGTAGCAAAATAGCCTGCATATGATTTATGGCTGGTGCTGGGTTGTATCTAGTCGTGACTCAGGAATAAGTTTTCAGCAACCTCTGCAGGTTGCTGGTAGAAGGAATATCACATTTAAGTGAGCAGCTTCCACGTACAGCTGAGGCACACACAGGTTACATCTCCCTCTTTGATGTATTTGATACTTAAGTAACAGTTCCCATCTCTCCTGGAGAAATGCAGAGGGTCTGCCTCTCGGTTTATTCAAGGTTTAATGCCAACTGCCTCGTATTTCAATAGTCATACCAGTAGCACAGCTGGAGAATCCTTGGGACAGAAGACTCTCAGAGGAACTGGAGAAAATTACACATACTTAGTTATAAACCAGAAAGTCACTAACAATGAATAATCTGAGAGCAAGTTTGAAAGGACAGACCGGGAAAACAAGCACAGAGGATGACCTGAGGAAGAGAGGATAAAGGGTGTTGAATAGATACAAGATTTCTGAATTCAATCTTTTCAAAGAAACAGATCCACCCTAATCAGAACCTCCACTATTCAAGTGTTTGTTGTTCTAAATTATTTTCTTAAGAAAAAAAACCAAAAACAACCTAGCTTGAGAACTCTAAAAAGCACCTGTGTTTAAGGAAAAAAGTACAACTATTTCCATAGCTAACTTGTATTACTGACAGATACATTTGGACTAATATCTTGGCATATAATCAGGTACACCAGAACTCTCAGCACAATAAAAGAAAAGGATAAAAATAATCCTTGGGTGTAAAACCAAAGTAAATCCTTGGCAAGAACAGAGAAATACTAAGGTAGCTTCTGATAACCACAGTTCAATTGTTAAACCAAAGGTTCAAGAATGAAAAAAGGGAATATAATTAAATGACTGGAATGCATGTCCCATAGTGAAGAACTTTCGAATTCAGTCTATTTAATAGGTAGAGGTTGAAAGGTGATCTGATTACAATCTGTGAGTACCTGTGCAGAAAATGGAATGTGGCAATAGAGGGTTCTTCAGTTCACGTTGAAGTTAAAGCAATTCACATTTTAAAATATTATGACTTATTTTTACATGAGGGTAATTTGCTTCTGAAATAATTTACTACAGGTTATGGTGTGTTCTCTGCTACTGGCAAATTTTAAATTAAAATAGTATCTTGTTTTCTCTAAAAGATACTGTGAGACAGGAATTAATTATAGAGCAAATCAGCCTAGATTATCATAATGGCTCTTTCTGGCCTCATAACCTATGAATCTTTGTGTTTTAATGAAATCAACAGATGGTTCAGTGCAGTTTCCAGGACAGATGAAACACATTCTTCCCAATTGTTAAAACTATGTGGTAAAGGAGTAGATGCTGTTGTCAATTCTGGTGTCACTTATCACCAGTGCTTTCAGTGAAATTTTTTTTTTTTAATGTGTTTGTGATCCTACCTTGCAACATATTAAAAATGAAGGTAAGTAAAAAGTCTTGGACAAAAAAACTTGACTCTATAGTTTAAATATATAAGCTTCAAGAACTAGTTCCTTAGAGTTACCTGCTGCAAGCCAGAGAAGAAAAATTTTCATGTTTCACTGAGGCAGCTTTCTGCCACCAGAAGAATCTACCATCTACATAGCACTTCCTACCTTGCAGTGTCATGAGCAACCTCTGAACCAATTTGAGGGCTTTTCACTATGCCAAAATACTAATTGAAACCCACACCTCTAACTCCAAATAAGGCCATGACTGACTCAGAGTGCTGTCCCTCACTTGAACATGATCTTCTAGTATCACTCTGAGACATGGCTTCCATAGCAACTGAGAAGTAAGCAAAGCAATGAAACAACACCCATTTTTATCAGATGCTTCCTAAACAAACCCGACCTCGCCTGTTCAAATAGAGACAAGCTTGAATTCATCCCGTGTCCGATATATGTATCCCTCAGAGAAGGTCTGAGGGAGTCAAGGACAGGATTTCTGATATAGACATACACATCTACTTTACAGTTATTTTGGGAAGGAAGGTGGAAAATAGAAAGAGGAAAAGAAATTACTAGCAAAAGCTATGCACAGAGCATTTGAAAAGGAACTGTCATTCCTCCAATCTTTAAATTGCTTTATATTCCAAAAATTAAACAAGAATAATGAAAAAATTGGTTTTTCCTTTTCTATGAGGATTGCTTTTAAATAATTGCTTTTAAACAAATCTGCCTTTGTTTGATGAATTTGACCAGTATAAATGGATGGTCAGGGATGGGACAGTCCAAATATCCATGGACCTAATGATCAGCACAAGAATTTCATGACATCTATGACATTTTGAGGGGGAAAAAAAGGAAAAAACATTAAATTGTGTTTCCTATAAATCTGCTGAGAAAGAAGAGGTTGTTTCAGGCAGAGATAAAACAAATAGGCAATCTAGTTTTGCATTTTCTTAAAAATGGCAACTTTGCAATTCTGAA